CGCCCCAAACAAAACTTTGAGGTGTCATATCTTTAAAACTACGCACAATAACGAGAAAAAAATTGCGCCTTGCAATTCAGGGACGCTGACTGCATTAAAAACTGTCATAATCCCAAAATCGAAAGTATGGACCGGAGTTGCCCTTTAAGAGCAGAGCTGGGTGTAGAGGGATGCGTTTTTGATAGAGTTGCGAGAAATACAAAAGACGTTCTTCATAACACGAAGAATATTCAATTGGAATATGTAGAATGTTTAAGGCATTGTCGCACTGCTCCCACGTGGGGGAGTCTTCTCCACGATGGAGGTAGCTATGAGACAGATGAGTGTGACCAAGCCAAGAAAGGATAACCTCAAAAAAGTGTCCCGGTGGCGTGCGCTCTGCCATTCATTCAAACGAGGTTTGCTCATGTGCAACTTGTTGCTAATTTCTTGACCCCATCCAGCCTGCCATTTGCACTTAATGTGACGCCTGAGAAGGGCTTTGTAGTTCCAAATAGTACTAGTGCACACATAGAAAGACGAGAGAAGATACCGCTTCGACGTTTACTTACCAACTAGCCCAATTATCAACCATTTTAGGGCTTTGGAGTCTGCATAAGAAATGATGTGCAGATGAACTGCTTGCTTGGCACAGGTACTTTCTGCCCAATCTGCTACCTCACTGCCCGGAGTACCCACGTAGCTGGTAATCCAGCAAAATATAATTTTGTATGCCTACAGCAACAACCTTGTTTCGCTGTTCAAGTTTCTGGAAGTTCTAAACGACACGTTTGAAGAGGGCACAGATATCTGAAGGTCGTCAACATATTCGCCTCGAGATCGAACCGTGTCGCCACCATGCGGCCAAAATTGGAAACTTGCGAAAGCGGGGATACCTCCGCGCGTCGTCTGCAACGGGAGCACGGGAAAGCATGGACACCGACGACGAGGGCCTGATTGCGGGTAAGCTATACTATTTATGTCAAACGCTTGTTTCTTTGTGAACGGCTGCATCGTTTCGCAAGAGTGTATATGCACCAAAGCAACGAATGCCACGCGGAATACTTGCTTAGTATTGCTACAGCGGTTGACATGCGATGCTTTGTTTCAGTTGGGCTGCCGCTGTATGTCATTATGGCATACATTGGTGACGGAAAGCGGTGTCTTGTCGAAGGCGAAGAACTCGTCAACACGGGACACATTATCGAATGTAGCGTAGTTGTCCCAGAAACTACGTCGTCGAGTGTTCACGTGCGGAGCTACGTTTTGCAGACATCGGCATTAAGCAAGGACCCCCACACTGTGGACCTCAAGCTAACGAACAACGCTACAATTGACGAACTTTCCTGCACGTGCCGTGCCGGGTAACTACAGCTTGAAATGTTCACCTGCCAGAAATGCGATGCAACGTTACTGCAAGACAAGAATTGCGCAGCCTTTGCGCTGCTAATTTTCTTAAACGCCATCCACACTTTGCACGTCCGGTAAATGACTTCGTTTCGCGGGCTCGATATTTGCGAAGTGTCGGGTTCGGTAATATTTTGCTTGCACAGTTTCGCCATCGGGAGCGGTGTGCTATGTAATTATCACCATAATGTGATCTACTGACAATCAATTTTCCCCGATTTATTTAAATCGCGAAATTTTCGGAAATTAAGACTTTTGCAGTAACTTCTATTCAGGTAGCTTGTTTATCACAGACTGGTAACTAAATAAGATAGGTGTTAGAGAATTACTGATAATTTTCGTATGAAATCTGTCTTATCAAACTCAAAATGGAACCGGTGATTAATTTCAGAGCGGCAGCTGATGTTTCGTTAAGACATCTTCAGAAATATCCGCAGCTGGGTAAGCGAAATATTGGCTGCCATTCTGAGGCCCTCAGGGGGGGTTTCTAGTTCTTTCTATAAGCTCCTGGCATCTTGATGCTCTGCTTACATTCCCTGACAAAACACTCACCGTTACTAATTGGGTTAAGCAGCACTTCCAGGTGTAGCTTAAAAACAAATGGAACCGGTCTGCCCACTGTAGACAGCAATAACTTCTAAAATATTTTATTACGGTATATGCAAACTGTAAGTTGCAACATTCTTCTCTTCCAGAAACTCGCATCGATGCAAACACTGCATTTGAGTACTGCTCCATGTGAACAGGGTTCGCCAGCTGCCGACATTGTCCTCCACGGATGTACCGCAGAGCTGGGGCCAGCACGCCAAAGGAATGGTCAAGGCAAGGTATGCTCCAACAAAGATTGTGGAGTTACCCTTTTGCTCAAAGGTATGTAGACTTACTGCATAAATATGCCATTCCATTCTATCTATGTTGACAGTTGGGTCGTGAGCATCCAGAAACATGATACAGCTGGGAGTAGGGAATGGACGAACAAAATCTGTTCCAGGATACTTCTTTGCCCTTTGCAATTTCACTTCGCAGAACCATTAATTTCAATTACCTGTTTCCTGCAAAAAACCACGGTGATCTCCGTGTCTCTCTATTTATGTTCCTGTCTTGCCAGATGCCTGCATTTCACATATGACTTTTCACACAGCACAAAAGGAACTTTTAAGCAAAACAAGAAGACTGCAAACCTTAAGCTACACCTTTTTTGTACCACTTTATATTACAAGTAAAGGAAAATTACATTGGGTCTATCGATTTCCCTTACACTACGTGTGGCGACTGCAAAAGACCATCATCGCCTTGGTCAGCATAGCACGAGCTGGGACACAGGAGCTCGTGCATTCCGTTCTTCAGCAAGCTGGAATCTTGGCAGCTGGTCATGTCCCTCTGACCTGCTGCATTGGAATAAACCCTCAGTACACCCCACGACTCGGGTCTACTACACTACGGAAATTGTTGCATAGGATGGAGAACATTAAAGCAGACACTTAGGTGGAGTGGCATATATATTAACTGCCTTTGCTCTATTCTTGTTGCTGGTGATATGTGAATGCAAGCTCTGTATTTTTCAGTTTCAGCCTCCGGAACTACCTCCAAGCAAGCCTGGTGTCTTAAAACGTCTCATAAAAGACTTGCCATATGTTTGCATGGCAGAAATGCACCTGGAAAAAAGGATGCGACCAAGGGATGCCCCCGACACATGTAATACACTGTATTCTATTTTCCCCTTTCGTAAGCAGAAAAACGACCAACCTACCTTTTCCTTACACCTTACATTGGTACGAAGAAATGCATTGCAAAACCAGTCTTTCTCTCCAAGGTGTGCATTATGCAGTGTACTTGCCATGCTGGAAGTATGTGAAACCTCACGACACATTGATCTGCTAGCAACAATGACAATCTATTTGTGGCGCTCATGATAGTGTCGCATTCTCTGCTGTTCTACCTCAGATTGTGCCAAATACAAGCAGGTATGCAGCCAGGACTAGACTAAATTTATTATTTGTACCTTCAATGTTTCGTGCTGGACAGAAAATACATGAACCCGATCTAAGTAAGTGCCAAGCACCAGTGGCGTACCAACTTGTTTTTGAGTGGAGGGGCAAGCCAGACTCCCCCCCAGGGGCGGGGGCGGTGCCCTTGTTATTCCTTGGGTGCCGCCGGCCAGTGTTTGCCCTGCCCATGGCGACTGTTTCGGGGAGGAGGGGGGGGGGGGAAAGACACGCCTTGCCCCCCCTACTCAAACTGGGGGGGCAAGCGCCCCCCTTGCCCCGACGGTTGGTACGCCCATGCCAAGCACCAACGTTAACCGTTTTGCAGATTATGTAGTCACAAGTACACACTCCTATGTGTATGAAAATAAGGCACACTATTATCTTGGGCATGTTACAGTGTCATGAAGCAGCCAGGATACCTGAGAAGCATTAAAGGGGTGTAAATCCCTAAACTAAATAACAGAGAAGGCATAAGTTCAGTTCTGCATTATAATGTTTAGCACTTGTTATGAGCTGAAAGGTGTGCCTGCAAGGTGACATTCTTCAATGTAGAATCATTCCTGTTAGGAATTTTGTAGTTTAATTTCTTGAAGCCGTCTTTAAGATTAAGTATCGACCCTGGCCTTCCGAACTCCTTTGCAGGCGCAGAACCTGATGCAGCAGAGGTGGAAGCTCCCGACCAGCTGCACCAGGACGATGTTCCAGTCACCGTGATGCAACTCATATCAACAACAGAAGCAAGCGACTTCGACACATTTCTCCATGAGCTCAAAGACACCTATCATGAAAATGCTATAGCAACAATCGAAAGCCTCACGAGAGAACAGTCATCGTGCCCTGCATGGCTCCAATATAGGAGGGGGGTGGCAACCAGTACCTGTTGTCACTCCTTTAAAACAAGAGCAAAATCCTAGAGCACAGAAGAGAGGCCTCACAATGTATGTGGGCTCGTTAAGGCAGTGCTCAAACCAAAAACCTTCCAGAGTGCTGACATGAAAAGGGGGCTCAGAGACGAGCCCACTGCTGCCAAAAACTATGTAGAAGTCCAGCAAAAGAGGGAGCACATTGTCACATTGCGCACCACTGGCCTCGTTCTGGAGCAAGCTCCCCGTCATGGCTTGCTCTCCCGACAGGATCGTCACTTTCAAGTGTTCATAATGCGAGGGAAAGATTGCTGTACTTGAGATCAAGTGTCCCAGGAAGCTCCAGAACAGCCTCAAGTGTCCCAAAAAGCTCCACAACAGGCACCCAAAGGCAACTATGAAGCCCCTCAAGTGTCCCGAGGAGCTCGAGAACAGAGTCTCAAAGGCAACTCCAAGGCCCCTCAAGTGTCTCGAGGAGCTCAAGAACAGCCTTTCAAAGGCAACTGGACTTCAGCCCCTCAAGTGTCCCGAGGAGCTCCAGAACAGCCTCTCAAAGGCAACTGCGAAGCCCCTATTTTACACTCAGGTACAAGTACAGATGGGCATCCTTGGCATAGGCCACTGCGACTTTTTCGTTTATGAGTCATCCACAGTATGGAAGCTCTTGCCCATTTCATTCAACAAAGACTGTTTTGATGAATGTGTTCAGTCCATTACACAAATGTACAGAGAATACATTTTCACAGCATTGCGTTCTGCTTGAGGTGCCATTGTGTGGTGTAAATATTTGGCTGTGTGGAATTTTTCTTTGTAAACATGTTGACTCTAAATGCTTGGATTAGTCATCTTCATTAGGGTTATTTACAGTAGAGTTCTTTGTACATGATTACAAAAACTTATCAGAGGAAAGAATTGGTTTTGACAGGTTTGTCAAGCCTGCGAGAAGCTTGACAGTGTGGTCAAGAACAGGAAGTAGCTGTGTCGGAAACTTTTGTTGCAAAACCTTGAAGGCTTTGAGCCTTTGGATGGCACGGTCCACATGCACACGTGCCCTTGCGATTTGCTCATTCTTAAGTGCATCAGAGCTCTCCATTTGCCGCTTTTTTCGTAAAAATGGAGGGCGATCCATCCTAACGCGAGCATCATCGCACAGACTTTCAATTAGGAAACCTTTGTCTACCATCACATGATCAACATATGGCATACACTGATCAAGGATGGCAGACTCCTTTGTCAGGAAGGAATCTGACGTACGCCCACCAAAAGCGGTGCCAACAAACGTTATCATTCCACTTGGTGCACAACCAACTAGCACCTTTGCGGTGTAGTTCTTCATGTAATGACTGTAAGTCAAAATGCGTGACGCTAAGTCACCTGGTCTCTCTAGTGTGATCTCAGTACAATCCAATACGACTCGCGTGTTTTTGAATGGTGAAAAGTAAACGGTCAGGTTGTCAAGGACAGACTCTTTTGATGTAAAGAAGACTGCTTCTCCCAACACTCTCGACAGAATGCATACACAGCACTTCAAAAGGTTTGACACTGTTGTCCTGTGAATGGAGAACAGTACGGAGAGAAAGCTGAAATTAATGTTGTAGTACAGCTTCACCATGACCATCAATACTGCGTCTGCGTCATCTAGGCTGTAACCTCGTGGAGATACTTGCTCTCGTATATCCGTGAATTCTGCAATTATGTTCCTTATCAGTTGCAGGCTCGTTATACCAGTCAAGATGCGTACTTGTTCATCTGACTGGATGACAGACATGGACAGCAGGGGCCTCTTCTCTTTGACAAGTGTATCCACTTGAACCATGCCGTCTCTTAGTGTACCAACATGGGCTCCGACAATCTCTGCAAACTGATGGAGCACGTCCATGGCTGTTTTGGGTGAGAACAAACAGACACACTGCTTTACACCAGGTATATAAAGCTACAAATGTAACCATATCTCTTTCGACGACTTCTACCCCTATTGGAAAAACCAGCATGAAAATCAAACTGGTCAAGCTGGTAATTAAGGTGGTCAAGCTGGTAATCAAGGTGGTCAAACTGGTCAATGTGGTAATTAAACTGGTTTAGCTGGCAATCAAGCTGGTTTAAGCTGGGCAAGCTGGAATTTAAGCTGGTCAGTCTGGTCTAAGTAAAAACCAGCATGGTCTCACTCGAATCTGGTTTTAGATTCAATCTGGTGTAGCTGGGAGCCAGTCTGGTCTTAACTGGTCAAACTGGTTTTCCATGGAGCCAATGTGGTCAAGCTGGGAGACGAGCTGGTCATGCTGGGAGACAAGCTGGTGAATCTGGTCGAAATAATAATCGTGGTGGTCAAGCTGGTCATGCTGGGAGCGCGCACGCCAAGGTCGGCTAGAGATAGCCGAACTGGCATTGCTGGGAGCGCGCGCGACAAGGTCGGCTGCTGGAACGAGGCCACGTCCTGTTCTTTGTCCTCTCGTTTTTGGTAGACCACCGGGCGCGTCAGGCGCGCTGCAAGCTACCTTTGTGTGCGAGAAAAGAGAGAGAGAGAGAGAGAGTGGTAGAAACGGAGAATCGAAGACGCGTTTGGATAGCTTGGGCAGAGGGCAGATCGAAGGGACGGCTGTGTGCGCGTTGTTTGGAGACTAGTTGAACGACGGTGCAAGCGAAGCGGGTTTTGAGAAGACAGCGAGCGGCAGTCCGTTCAGTGCGGGAAGATGTCAGACGTCCCGACTGCGGCGTCGCTTCGTGTCTTCGAACGTGTGTGTGCCCAAGAATGACGGCGGTGCCGAGAAGTATCGCCAATGCCATCCAAGCCACACGGATTTCCTCGCCTCTGCCGACCACGCAAGTTGCCGCTTCGCCCCCATCGCTGGCGGGACCCAGGTTCGCTTCTCTCGTCCGTGTAGTATTTTCGTCTGCTATTGCCTGTTTTTGGCCTGTGTCTAGTATTTTTTTCGTGTTGAGAGATAAGCAATCTGGTTTTATTAACATTGTAGACAATTTGCACCGAGAATCTGTGCGTCGGTTAGTACTGTGTCAGCGCCGAGGATGTGTAGCATTTGAGTTCATGTGAGGCTGCCGCAAGTACGAAAATAATAAATTGGATGCCGAGTTGGCTTTTCTGACGAGCTTGGCTTTTTTATTCTGTGTATTAATTTAAACAGGTTAAACTGGTTGGGAAGTTCACCAGCATGACCAGTTTAACAGCATGACCAGCATGCCAAACTGGGCATGCTGGGGCAATAACCCAGCTTGAAGCTGGGACCAGATCAACCATCATGACCAGTATGACCAGATCAACCAGCATGACCAGCATGCCAAGCTGGGCATGCTGGGGCAATAACCCAGCTTGAAGCTGGGACCAGCTTAAGCTGGTTTTTTCAATAGGGACGAACCAGATAAATACTTCACTAGTAAGAGTATGCAAAGAACAATTCCAAAGCAAAATAGGCTTATACATAGCGAAGCCTCTGGTGAGCTCAGCATGTGACACTCAGCGCGTGACTATATTTTTTCCAGCTTTCTAGGGCTGGTAGTGCATGGAGAAAAAGTAATACATATTTCGTGGGTTATGAACATCAACAATTCATTTCCAGCAATATTTAGCGAAAGTATGAAAATTGTTCTGTCGCACTTTTGTGCTGTGGTACTTCACTGACAGTACAAGCTGCAACGCTCAATCTGGCCATTTTTTTGTGCCTGCAGCTCCATTATCTCGTAATCTGTATAAGCACTCAAAGAACGGAACCTAAATGAGGTTCTCTTTTAAGTCTGGGCCAAAGTGTCTTCAAGCACTAGCTGGTATGCCAATAAAGCGTGAAGAGCTGTTGTATCTCATACTGTCTGCGATAGTATATAGTGACCAGATTTTTCAAGGCTCATCCAGGTGCTTAAAAAGACAGATATGAAAAGAAATATAGTTAACTCACATGGCTCCTCTTCGTATGCATCGGCGTCTATGTGGGGTCCTGATATATCTAGCTCCGGTGCCTGCACCAACTCTTGGTCGTCATGTGCTGCAGCATATGTATAAGTGTATGAATTGAGAAAAGAAAGATAAATGTTTTATTTTTTTCGCGCTGTCTTTTATTTGAAAAATGCTCTTGTACTTAGAAGCATCAGGAAGAGCAATCAGGGGTGGTGTCAACGTGGTCCCATGTTGTGCCCCTGCGGACGCTGGTTCATCATCAGTTCCTGTAAAATGTAGTTCGAAGTTTGAGGATTTAAAAAAGAGCAATTGTTCATAATTTAGTTAATCCACAGTTCATAAATGCCTTGAAGAGTAATTAAAGACAGTCTTAATACAGCCTGACCTGATTTTCGTGAGAGCCATCGTGGGTCAGAAGGGTGCAATATAGTTTGAAATGCATAAAAATATATATATAAGTGCCGCGTCCCACTAGAGTGACAAACACCCGTTTCTTTCCACCGACAAAACAAAATATACTTCTTGAACGCTTAACCACCTTCTGCAGTGCTGCTCATTGCCAACATGTTGTTTTGTGACCTGCTGGCGATTCTCAAAGGGAATAAGGACTGCTAGGAAACTATATTAATTATCTTCACCAGCAGTGTTTTTGTTTGTTGCGCTAGTGGGACTCGGCTCTTTTTAGGTAAGTAAATATTTAACATAAATAGTGCAGTTCATCAGGAAACAGACATCAGTTGTGGTGATCCATACTGCCCAACGTCTGCCTAGAGCAGACGACACATCCACAGAAGCGATTTTTTAAATTTAGGCCGTATGCTGGTAGCACGGTTAAATCTTCACTGAAGCACCGAACAGTATACCATACCATCTTCTGTTAAAATTATTTTCACACCAATACCATGCGACAAAATAAACGCAAGAATCTACATAGCCTCGCGCGCGAACGTGGAGAGCTTATGGGGCGGCCATGCTCCCATTCCCGCTTTGATTATGATGGCAGCATAACATAACATTTTGAGGCCAGCTCGGCTCCTTGATTGCGGGTGACTGTTTCGGTTCTTGTAGTTGTCTTTCAATGTACCCAGTGTTTTCTTTTGTCAAAGCACATGGCATCTTTTGGCGCAGGTAATAAATATTGTGAACTATGTTTTCCTGACACTCCCCACATGATGCGTTGCAAACCAGATACATAGCTGCTTGGGAAAGTCCCAGTATACATGTTGATGTCCTTTTGAGTATTTAGGATGTGCCAAGACTCTAACGAAAGGTGCCTTCGCCGGTTTCTTTCCGTGTCGACTATGGTGCTGTTGTTGAATGCAATAGTGTGGTCCCCTTGCTCAATGGGTTATGCTAGCGCTCTGACCTGTACGTCGTCATTCTAAACATCATATTAATGCATCTGTAGGCGTTCCAGGAACTTTTTGGTTACCCCAACGTATGAAGTAAGGCAGTGACCACGAGGATCCTGTAGACAAGTCCTGCGCTTTTGTGGGGCGATCCTTTGTAAGACAGAGGAGGTATGCTGATGATTGCCTCTGCGTGGTCAAAACTAGTGAGATTGACCAATTTCATTAACACCTAAACTCCACTAAGCCGCTGATTTAATTCACCAATGCACTTATGTCTGTCTTCCACTCCCGGATGTTTGTGCTATGAAAAGTTCCAGTCGTTTGACATTCAATATGCACAGAAAATCAACATACACCAGCCGATACTTAAACTTCTCATCAAACCATCCTACAACACAAGTTTTCCGTGGCCTACGCTCTCTTCAGTCAGACAATCACGGCGTGCTCCACCAAAGACTCTACAAAAAAAGAGGAATTGCAACGACCAAGCAAGACATCAGAAAGAATGGATACCTTGGCAGGTACTTGAACAAGATCTACTAGAAATTTCAAAGTCATCCAAAAAAGACGCCACCCCTCCTTTCAGCTGTGAATACATTTCATACACCAGGGGCACAAGCAAGGCTCTTGCATGCGTCTTATGAATACAAGGGGTGCTCAAAAAGTGTCCAACCTGAATTTGTTCCGCAAAAACAAATGAACATGAACAGCGTCCTCTGGTAGGGAGGTCGAGGGAACATTGTGCGGATGCGTGAATTTCATCAGGCCAACGGAAAATGCGAGTCGCTGGCAGTCAGCCTTTGAGTGAGGAAACGTAGTCAGTGCTCGTCAGTTTTTTTGTTTTTTTCTTTTCCGCAAAATGACGGAACAGCTTAAACAGAGGTATTGCATAAAATTTTGCTTCAAGCTTGGTGACACTAAAGTGGAAACAATTTGAAACATTCAGCAGGCTCTTGGCGACGATGCCATGTGCATTACACAAATTAAGGAGTGGTACAACCGGTTTAAAGATGGCCACACGTCGGCGGACAGCGACGTACGTTCCAAAAGGTTTTGAAGAAGCCAAAATAACGAGGTGATTGACCAAGTGCGAACTTTGACAATGCAGGACCATCGCAGGACCATTCAAGAACTTGTGGCTGAGGTGGGAGTAAGTACCGGTTCGGTGCATTCCATTTTAAAGGAGGATTTGGCTCCGTGGAGAGTGTCTGCGAAATTCATGCATATGTTGCTTGCAATGAAGCTGCATGATGACAATGCACCAGCTAATTCCTCGTATCTGATTCGGGGTTTCTTGGTCAAAATCGGGCTCCCGACTCGCCCAACATGGATCCTTGTGACTTCTGGCTCTACCCCAAGATAAATGTGCCGCTGAAAGGAACCTGATTTTAGACACGAGAAAAACTGACGAGCACTGACTACACTTCTTCACTCAGAGGCTGACTGCCCGCGACTCACAATTTCTGCGGGCCTGGTAAAAATCACGCATGCGCATTAATGTTCCCTCCACCTCTCCACCAGAAAAAATCAAGTGGATACTTTTTGAACAGACCTCACATATGGTGTCAGTCTGACACACAAGTCAGTGTTGACCATCGGCTGCCTCCTCTGTCTTTCAAAAGATTGTCCCCCAACATAAGAAGTGCATTGACTTTGTGAGAACTGTTAGCACAGGAGCGGACGTAGAGTATAGGGAGGTGTTTTCCGCTTGTCTTTTGTGTGGTTGTTTTTCTCCTCACGCCCTGTTGTTGGAAGGTTGTTAGGGGAGCGGCGATGTTGGAAGGTTGTTAGGGGAGCGGCGATGGGAACACTGTGTTTTCAAGTTCGCAAGGTCGGACTGCGTGTTGAGTCCAGGAATCGAGGCGGTCGAGGTCGCTTTGTGTTCGGCGGCGGCCACTGGGGAGCAAGGCGGCACGTCCCTTGGACTTCGGGATGTGCGGCCATTTGTAATCATTGACAGGGAGCACTCGAACAGGCTTAGTTGGTTTTGTGTTCGTGCTTGGTTCGGTGTCCTTCGCCAGATGTGGAAAACCACTGGCCGGAGAACCGCTTAACAGCATCTTAGAGAGTTAACTTCTATAGTCAGTTACAGGTTAAGAAGGTAGCGGCAAATGCCCCTCAAAGGGAATCAGATATCCCTCCGCCATCTTTGCATCCAATAGCGTCCCACCGTTTCCGTGACGTCGCGGATAACGCGCGAGGAGGGTCTTGCCTTTCTGTACATATTTGCTTTATCTTTCGACTTTGACTTAGCATTGTGGAAGCCAAGAGAGGGAGATTAGAGCTCTCCCCCACCGACGGAAACAAATACGACTTTCGGGGATTAGCTTCCCCCCCGATGGATACAAAGGCTGCTTTCAGGGGCTCGGTTCCCTCTCTGATAAATACAAAGGTCGCTTTCTTAAGAAGTGGGATAGGAGACAAGTTGGAATCCATCGAAGCGGAACAAGGGGCGTTTCCAGTGAACTCTTCTTTCGACTGCGGAGAGATTTGAAACGGGCGCATCACCCTTCTGGGAGGAGCTTCTCCTACCTTCTTGACTTGTAACCGACTATAGGGGCGTCTCCACGGGTGGTGTTGCTTGGTTGGCCTGTCGTTGGCGGAGACCGCGGGGTTGCTCGCACGTGTGTGTCTCTTTTGGTTGTTGTTTGTTGTATGCGGGACCTTCCCGATTGGCAGCATGGGGACCCTTTGGGTTTGATTGCTGGAAATGAGGGAAGGGAGAGAAAAAAAAAACTATACACAAACTCAGCTCTGTTACGCCACGGCGCGGTGGTGGCGTGTCGGGTGCACCTCCGGTCTGGGGCTGTAGTTGGAACTCACTATGCGGGACGTGCATTCCTGCATTCTTTTCGAAGAAATTGGACAAAATCCTGCCTTCTCGTCAAAACACAGCAACTGGGGCTGTACCAAAGGAGTTGGAAAAGGTTTGAAGGTTAGTTTTCGTCTGTTTTCTGCTGCTCAGTTCGTCCGAGAACATTAATAGGTGCAGTGAAAAATAAAAACCAGACGCCGTCGGACCACGACTGCTTGTGCAGGAAGCACTTTCGGTTGAATTCACGGATACTTGTGGTTATCAGACTTGTTTTGTTCAAACATGAATGCAGGAAAACCGCCAAGTTATACGGACCACCTGTGGACTACGTTCAGATGGCCGATCGTTCGAACTGTCGTCTGCTCTTACGAACGTTTCTGCTTGTTGTCGCCCGCTCGTTCAAATGACAGCAGCCCGTAGACCAAACATTGACCTGGTAACAGCGATAAGAAGTAAGTGCAGGCCTGAAAAGACTTAAGTTTGAAGGTTGGTTGGGGTAAGCAAGCTCGGTGTAAAGAGTAAATACAAGAAGATGTTGATCATTGTTAACAGTGGCCATCAGTCACTTGTTGTGCCCAATTCTGCTTGCGATTTTCAGTATCGACATTGACCATCTCAGCTACGGTCTACACTTTTGCAGCCCGAGCGACGTCGCGACTGAAAATCGGGCTTTAGCGCCCATTTTGCGGCGTCCACGCAAAATGGATCGCCGCACGTCATAATATTTATGCGAAGTTTTGCTGTATAACGAGCCTCAAAACATTTTGCTGAGGCCGCTGAAGTAGTCGGTCATTGTTAGGAAGACGTAGAATCAACAATTCCAACGCGAAAAAGAGCACGAGGCCTGTGCGGAGCCGCTGCTGTCCGCTAAGGGCGCTACGGTTTGTTTGTAAACGTGAGTTGGTCTATATAAAAGACCAGCAACAGTGTTTATAGGCTCCTTGGTTGTTGGACAGTGCGACGTAACCTTTCAACTGTACCTGTCTAGTTGTAAATACATTGCATCATCTCCTTCATCGTCAAATGCAGAGCCCCGCCTGAAATCCTTCGTCACTACTGTTTGACAACCCTCCGCCATCGGCACCATCATCACCGACGCAACCGTCACGGAAAAGAAAAGAACCCATCCCTCACTGACTTGTTGACAGGACCTCTTGCAGCGACTTCCTCGCTCGCTTGTAGGCTGGGAAACTAAAAACGCCTGAGCACCTAGGCAAGCATTGTTATGGTGTTAAGAAGGAAGACGTACATGACAGCATGCATGCCGAATGCATTGAGTAGAAGGGCTATACTATTGCGTTCAACAAGAGCACTATCCTTGAAACAAAAATAATTGGTGAAGACGCCCTCTGTTAGAGTCTTGGTACATCTAAAACACCTACGATAACATCAATGAGTCTACTGCTACACTTCCAAGCAGCTACGTATCTGGTTTACGATGTATCATACGGGAAGCGTAGGGAAAACATACTTAAAGGGCCCCTGCAAAGACTTTATTATTGGTTTTTAATTTTCACCGAACCTGAGCGCACTGAACGTAGTAACTTAATGAAACTTTTCTTGAATTTCGCTTTATTTTAAAAGTTATAGGCAAATTAAAATTACAAAAACAAGCAAAAAATAACCTCCATGCCGTCCTTGGTTGCTTGAGTGGCCGTGAACCAGAGGAGGGGTAGTGAGCTCAGCGAGCGCTCACGGCTGCCGCACTCCGTGTTGACGGCGCGAAAGGGCGCCACTGAAGCATGTTCTGGATAGGCTGTATGCAGCAGGCAGCCAGAGCGGCCCTCATTGCATTTGCTGCGCGATTAAACGCTAATTTGGAATGACACTTCATTGGCCACAAACGACAGCAAACATGGGGTAAAGATCAGTTCAGAATGGGAGCCACTTCGAGCTGCCATACTACGAAACAGCCAAACCGCAAGACAAAGCTTCTCGCCGAAGGCCTTCGGAACGCTCGGAGCCGGTCGGATCCTCAATTCGATACGACCGCAGCACTGCCGCGTACATCCAGGAACTTTCCGTGTCGGCGCCCGATCCCACTACTCCTTTCTACTATGCGCCACCTTTTCCACCGCTTGGTGGCAGGTATGTCGACGGGTCATTTCTTGTTTCCGTACATTATAAACTGCATTTGTTTCTTTCCTGATCTATGATACTGAACAAAATCTACTTTTATAAATGATTGAAACGGTTTGCGCCACTTATATTTTGTATTTCGACTAAAAAGTAGCTTTTAGCGGCTCTGACCAGTAGTAAGCCCAGGACCAAAGACGTCACATTTTGCGCGCTTTCGGTACCGCGGGTCGCCCCCGTCGGTAGAGGAGGTTTTCGCGTCGTCCGGTTAAAATAGGACGCATTGATATTTAGTTACTCTCTCCGTGCCCACTGGCGTGTTGGAACTCCAAGAGACGTGGAAACCGCAAAAAAGTTAGACGCTTAAATATGATTGCAGAGCCCCTTTAACACCGTGCACTTTAAAAGAGGAAGGCAAGACTGGGCACTTTGAAAGATAACAAAGACCAAAGCAGTCACTTGTGATCAAAGAGTGAGCTGGCATTAAATTGTTGGTGTTTTTTACAGTGTGGTTAGAGGTTTTCAGTTTAATTTTAAGTCAGTCTTGACTAAGTGGACGTCCTCCGAGATGTTCCCCTTCAAGCAGATAATGTGCAATGATACTTACGAGTGTTTCCATGAGATGGCAATGCTGCGTTCCTTGTGGCTCTCACAGCTTGAAACAAAGGTATGAAAAGTCCACTGAGTTACAGCAAGCATTCAAAACATATTTCAGGAAGAACATTTCTATGTTTAGTTATGGCAAGCACATAAAAATGTTGGAGGAAGAACTATCTCGATAGTAATATTGTCACGAATGACAAGTGATGAGGCGGCAAATGACTGAATAAACTGAACGTTTAAGTGGGAGGCAGGCACGATAACCGCTAGGCCACGCGCGCGCTGCCACCTTGGCCAGTTGCGCGCGCGGCATTATGACAACATCGAAATGTGCATACCTGGTGGCTTGCGGCGGCATTTCTCCTTCTCGTGAGTGCGCTTCGGCAAGTTCTGGGATGGTATTGCAGCTTTCTTTAGCTTCTTATATTTGTGTACTGAAAGAGAACAGTTAAACCAGTGACAAGCAGCAGAGGAACGCGGGAAAACCGATGATCGGTCCCGCTAACTGCGTCATGTTGAATATGCCAAATGTGGCATCTCAATTGCATTCAAGGTTCAGAGGAATCTCCACAAAGGCATTAACTTACAGGACCTATCCTAACTGATCCGTAGCGACCGGCACAGGCATTGCATGTAAATAATAAGACTGTTCTGTGCTCCCTTGATGCTGGCATTCTCTTCGTGATTCGGTACTGCTAAAACTCTGCTGGTTGAGTTTACATCGTGTTCAGTCACGTTTCATTTACTCAGCATGATGACGTCTTCAAAGCCCAAATGTGATCCTGCTCTTCGTAAATACTGAAATCTACCATTTTCCGCGAAGCTTTCATTTTCGTAAGTAAATAGCGTGAAACCTTCGACAAGGGGAAGAGGCATAAAAATCATGAAATGTGAAGATACAATCAACTACGCTCGGCAGTCCGGCGTTCCCCTAAACAAATTCGCTGGCTAAATCGGAAGTAAATCTAAGATAACTGATCGCGTACGTCCGACGTGCCTGTAGGAAAAGTGTCAGCGTACGTCAGACGGATATCCTGGATGCTGCGACGAGAGAGTCGCTGCCGCTCAGCGCGATGGCTACTTTAGCCCGATGTCGGTACGTTTGTCGGAGTCACGACGATTGTGCTGAGATTTAAAGACGAGTCTTTAGACGAAGATTCAAAATCGCAGTATCCTGGCACTGAAGGATCCCTCCAATAATGCCGAAGCGGGAGGACCCACGCGAGCAAACTATCGAGATGCGTGTGTGTACGAACACGTACGCTGCTCGCTTACTGGAGTCATCTGATCCGCTCGCGACCAATTTTTTTTAACAGTTCGTTTCACTTACCTCGGTTGTCGTACTTTACTGACTTGAAGTCTTCGGTGACGAAATGCTTCGAGCAGACAACTGCGTGTATTGACGGCACCTTTGCGGTCCTTAAGCTGTGGAGCCATACCTTCCGCAAGGCACTGTCTGTCGGGTATCGATGCAAACTAACTCCCTCCTCGGTGCAGTAAGTGTTGCACTGAGGCACGGAACAGTAACGTACCATTTTCCACTAAATTGTTTTCCCGAACGATACTTCTTCGCGAAATAAACGGCGAAATTCGATAGCTGCTCGAGCGTGCACACGCAAAACCTATGGGACGGCCATATTTCTATCCCCTAATTGATGATGATGATAGCGCGATAGTAGCGCCATCTCTACTTCGATCTCGAGGCGAATAGTAAATATGTCACAGATGGAAAAACAGCCCATACAAGGGGGTTCATTTTGACACTAAACAAAGTGACACTAATAACGCCTCCCTGTGCACACCATTTTCCTGGACAAACACTTTAGATAAAGTTGTTTCTATCTGAGGACGAAAGGTACGTCTACTGAGATAGCTGTCAATGGTACGGAGCATTCGTCCCCGAATACCGAAATCGTACAAGTCTTTCAGTGTGCCAAAACGCCAGACAATATCGTAGGCTCTTTCGAGGTCCAAAATACAGAAAGACAATGTTGACTATGAACGAAAGCTTCATGCACGACTGTCTCCAGGTGTATTAAAGAATCAAGAATGGACCGAGACGAGCGATACCCACAATGGTTCGCATGTAGATGGTTATTCAATTCCAGAAAATACATCACTCGTCTATTAATTTTTCCTTCAAGAATCTTTCCGAAGCAGCGTGTTAAGGCTTGGCCAGGGGTGGCCAAGGTGCGGCTTTCGAGCCGCATTCGCCTCTTCACGTGGTAAACCGTAAAGTGCGGCTCGTGGTTCCCTCCCCCCCCCCCCTTCTTCTCCCCCGCCTCCCTCCCGGTCGCGTATAAGCAAACCATATCCCGTACAGCACCTGGCCACGCCCCCTTGTCACGTGACATGACGTCACTTCCGCCAAGGCAATTTGTCATGTCACGTGACCTGACGTCACTTCCGCTCCAAACCGAAACCAGTTGTTTTATTGGTTAGCGAATTGTCACGTGACATGACGTCACTCGCGCCGCTGTGGCAAGGTAAACATGGCGCCCGCCGCCGCCTGAAGCACGAATCGTATGCGGTCGATCATCGGTGCAGTCGCGGCTGAAGCCAGAAACGCTTGAGACGGGAAGCCTACGTGATCGACGCAGTCGCGGCTGAGACGCTGTGAAGGCGGTGACGCGAGGGACTCAACACTTGGTGACGCAACTACGCGACGCCCGCAGTATGCGACGTCTCGCATCGTGCTTCTGCACAGGAGTGCGTAAAAGGCGCAAGTACTTCTCTTAGCGTTCTCAACTCGTCGCTTGATAAGAGCGAAGCAAGGTTACTACCAACGCCTACCGCTGGTTTCCGAAGTCGAGCCTTCGGTTTCCAACGTCGGGTCTCGATGTCGCCGCTATTCTTGCCGCGCAGGTTCGTCGCCGACGCGGCGGATGTGAACCATGTCATGCATGAACGCTTGCCTTTTTCGATACGAAAATATGCTCTGTCGTCACGAACGCTTACGCCGACCCACAAGCTGAATTTGAAGTATTTTCAGCATTTTTATTTCGCCTGTACGTTGTCATCGCATCACCGTTACTCGCGGCGACGCAGATCTTCGTGCTTGCCTTCTAGCGGTGCCGCGGCTCTCCCGACCCAAAATAAAAAAAGCTGCTCTACGCTCGAACCGCAAATTGGGGAAGTGGTAAAGAAATTAGCTTAGTACCGTCAGAAACACTCGTATGACGATAGGCATGCCCAGTGGAACTATGAAGAGAAAAAACAAGAGTGCATACTTTGAACTCGAAAAGTTTTTATTTCACCGCATTAAATATATTGTTGCAATGCAGTGCTGGTTTCAAAGAATGCTATTTCCTCAGTCCCTTGCAAAATGGCAAGTTCACACTGAAAAGCAACAGTTTACGTGTACAAAAAGAAGTTCACAAATGGTAATAGTTTCTCTCGAGACCTAGGGTAAAGCAAACGGGCATGTCGCCTCAAACGCACATGAAAGCTGTAACTTTGGAAGCTACTACAGCTTATTCATGTAAAAGCAGCTTCACACACTTGCAACAGCTTATGACCAGTGGCTGACCAGTCAGTCACAAGAGGCTTAATTCGGTATGAAGTCATTCCCTTCGTAAGCAGTTTGCAGGTGAGTGAAATAGCCTTAAAGTGTGACACCTTTCGCTGTAAACACCAATTGTAAACAATGAATAAACCTCTTCTGTTCTTACTTAATTTGCACCATGTCGGAATTTTACATCACACTTGTGTGCCTGTGAAATTGTGTGTGCATGTGACAAAATGTGAAATTGAGCCCGAAACTGACACGGCTGCAAAATAATCAGTTTTAAGAACTCGTGTCGGATTCAAAATTGCACCCAAAAATCCTGGACACGGAGCAGACGTTTGATTGTATCTGTTCGGATGAGCAGCTGTGTTTTTCCTTTCATTAATCCAGACAGTTCGAATGGATGTAACCTCTGCTTTTGTACATAACATGTGGATATGAGCATAAACAACAGGGGAGGCACCCAGCATTAGCATCAGAAGAATGAAAACAGGTTAGAGAGCAGCTGGACTTAATTCTACTTGTTGGCTGATGAGTTCGTGGACGACATGAAGCGTGGAGTCTTCTGCCGTGCATGTACACCCTCTGTGTACGCCCCTCTTTCAATCTTTTTTTTTTTTTTTGTCTCCGCTTTTGAGGAGATTTGGGGCTAAGGACGTAGGCAACAGGTCACCGGTTCACACTCGACAAGTGCGTCCGGGGAGTCTGTGCCCAACTACATTGCCGTGCTGCGTCGTGTCGCTCAGCACTGCAAGTAGACATAATTTTCGTACAAGTTTTGTAACCGGTTAGTTTGTAGGGTGTGTGAGGAAGCCATTTAGCGACACCTTCTAGCCACACCAGATCTCGCTTTTGCTAGGGCTCAACAACTTGTGATTGCTGTGGAGTGTGCCACAAACGGAAAACCCCACATTTCCGGACTCCAGAGATGGCAGAGGTTCGCCACATGGACAAACACCACCTACACAAGGCATGAAACGGTTCATCAATGCCAAGCCACAGCACTGGCGCACGGAAGACATCTCCTAGTACAGCTAGAAAATGTTGCGCACGGTGCAAGTAGCTATAATTCTGAACACGCCATTTCTGTGGTGGAAAGGGACACATCATACATGCATGCCGTCAGTAGGTGGCCGAATCCCAGCACCAAGCTCCGGAAGTGGAATCCAGTCATCATCTGGATCATTGAACCAAGGCAGAAATCTTCGAAGTTCAAGTAAATGAAATCTTCATCTGCATAGATGGTGAGGCTTGGTCAACAATTGTTCTAAAGAGATAGTGTCGGCTTGGAACGGCAGCATACACTTAAACCTAAACAGCTCTCCGGACGTATTCACAATGTAAGTTGGTGGTTCTGGGAAATATCAATTTTTTCATGCGGTTCAAGGGAAAGGAGCGTGAGCCATTGTTGCTGACCGTGAAAAGACGTGGAGCAAGCCTGCTTGAAAGAAACCGGTTTGAAGTATTCGATAAGCTACGTGATGCGTGAGCAACAGACCTTTCCAGAAACATGTGGTACCCCCAGCGTCTACTTTATGCACTGCGACGTCCAGATGTATGGCACGAGGAATTGTCCCAGAAGCGAAGACGGAGTTGATGTTTGTTTAACAGTTTGTGATTTCAGAACACGGAGGGGGCAGAGGGAGAGCAAAACAGAGGGTGTGATAACTTTTTTTTTACCACTCACTCAATTTTTAGCATTTTCTGAGCTCCTAATGATAAGAAAGACTGAATCGTGCTAGTTCTACGATATACAAAGTGTTAGAGCCGGCACGAGCGTACATCCGAAGAGCCCCACAATTCCCCCGGTTGCAAGGTCTCTTGGGATTTTCCGGAAAGGTCTATTGCGCATTCAGAAAGGGAGAGAGGGGAGGGGTCCAAGAAGATGACAAATTAAAACACTCTTTGTCGAGGCTTGAGAGAGGATGGTCTTGCTCTTGTCTACCGCCTAACACAACACAAAGCACTACTATTTAAGGTGTCCTTCAATTAGCCGAGCCACTCCCACAGACTCGAGGACTGCCAAAAGAATTTCCAAGGGTCTTCGAGTAAGGACTTGGCGGACCCACATACATTCACACTAAATCTAAACTTCAAACCCAAGTACCACAAGCCTCGACTTGTTCCTTTGGCCCATGAGTCAAAGGAGTAGTACACCATCACGCAACTCGTGCAACAAGGAATTTTGCCTTGGTGCGGAAATCTGCATGGGCTACGCCAGTTGTACCTGTGGGGAAGTCAAACGGCGTGATATGGCTATGTGAATGTTATAAACGCATCATTAATCCAGTCTTGAAACAGAAGTCGTACCCACTGCCAACAGCACAGCAAATGTTGACTCAACTAGTAGCATAGTCCTTTATTACGCTTTTGGTCACAAAACTTCTCTGCAACGCTATAGAAGGGATTGGTATGCGACTACGTGTGACACTGGGGTCGACAAGGAGTCTGAAAGATGCAAATCTAGCCAGCACCACTGGGAACTGGGCTATTGTAGTTCCGAACCCACTCTGAATGAGCCACCTTTAGATGACGGTGATGCATGAATGCACTGAGAGCATTTCTGACAAGTCTAAGTGTCTTTGGCTGTGTACGCTGAGTCAACTGATCAAACTTTAAAACCTTAATTGCAGGTGCTATTTGTAAACAGTGTGATAGCCGCGTCCCACTAGAGCGACAAACAGCAACAAACGACAGCGACACACGACAACGAACGACAGACTACACCGACAGACAGCCTGTTTGTCGGAGTCCGCCGTCCCACCTGGGCGGACACGACGCAGAACACGGGGGCAAGGAAACTTGTTTCCTAGTGGGACTGGAGTTGTCAACAAAACACTTCAAAATACACAGACAAACAAAGTCTGGTGACGCGGTTTTCGTGTTTTGCTCTTTGGGCATAAAACGCACCGACAAACACGGTGAAAGGCGCGACGATTACTTTATTTCTTGATTAAATCTTCAGCTTCTCATCGTTTGCTGTCGGCGACTTTCCGTAAACAGTGCTGACAATCGACACCAAACGTTTTCCAAACTAGAAATACCTGAATCGTTCCTTTTGTGGGCCGTTCGAGGCATTCTAGGTGAGCGCCACGGAGTTTCACGCTGATTTTGAGGATGT